AATGGAACTTTCAGCTGACGAAGACGCTGTGGGCATTCACTACCTTTAAGCCGCAGCAAAAAATTATGCTGAGCGCCGTGGGGAATGTAGTTGCAGTATCTATGCTATTCACCAACTGCCACTGCTGCTACAACAATGGAAACAAAATATCAACCTTCTATGGCTTATTACCGCCAAAGTTAGAAGAGTATCTCGAGTAATCAAACTTGTCATTGAAATTATATTTTGTTAAGTTTGGCCAAGTTCAAAACCTTTTCGTTTTCCAATCTGGCAAGTTCTAAGCGTGCTTCTCGCTCTGCTTGGCGATCCTGCATCTCTTTTTCAAACTTGAATTTCTTGAATTCAAGCTGCTTTTCAGATTCTACGCGCAGCATGTCGACCAAATATTCCATTTCCTAAGTTAAATGAGTGAGCAATAGTATATACATTGCCTTTGAGTACAAATGTAAAATATACAAAATAGTAATATTTGCCTTAGAGTAGAAATGTAAAATATACAACATAGTAGCTACCTGCTTCTTCGATGGCGTGGATTTGGAGGGCCCCAGTTCTTCAACTTTGCGCTTTCCAATGGTTTTCATCGCTTCGTGCCGTACATGGTGGGCGTTTAAGTCCTTGGACCTGTTGGCTGCTGACGCCGCAATTGAAGCCTTGACCGACTTTTCCTCCGTCTCTTGCATGCGAAGCAGGAGGTCATCAAGCAACTGCGTCTTCTCGGTTTCGTCTTCGGAGGCACCGCTGGCTTTCATGGCTTCTTACCGTAAGATCTTGTGCTCGTCCAACAGGATGTTGAAGCGGTTCTGGCACTTCTTTCCATTCACGTTGCGCCCAAAGGTGGAACATGACGTTAATGTTTTCTTTCTCTTGCAACTGATTCCCAATTCGAGCCAATCGTCCCGTGAGAAGCTTCAAACGGCAAGTCGGCCGAGACCTGACGAAGCAGCACAATGTCCTCGTCAAACGTCCATTTCCTCCTCTTGGTGTCGTGCTGGACACTCATGTTTGTGGTTGCCGAGCACGTCACCAAGCGCTTTGATAGTTTATACATATTGATGCATTGCTAGAGGTTTTTTTAAGGACAGACTATCGTTCATCCAGCCATTTCACGGGAATATGCATCAATTGTAGACAGGTTTTGTCGTTCCGGAATTTGATCATAGAGGTTTTTTCGTCTGAGCGGAAAGAGAACGATATCGTTCATTGCGAAATCTCCTTATTATACTTGACCTAGCCAGAATGAAGTCAAGGTTAAAAAAGTGATCATAAATTGGTCCTCAAAAATAGAGTAAACTTGCTTGGAAAGTTGGATTTTTGTATTAGAAGGACATCTTCAAATGTAATACTTCGATGATGAAATGAAAGCGCTGTGTTCGGTTGTTAAGAATCACTTCACAAAATGTGAAAAGCCTTTCTGTGAGCCGAGATATGCGAATTCTACGGTGACTACTCCGAAAACGTGATCATAAATTGGTCATTTACGTTAGCACATATTTATACATGCATAACTACCGGTAGTCGTTGAGCCCGTCAACTGGTTATTCACACCAAATCACATTGCACACACGTAAGCACGCAAGGGAACATCATAAACCATACGTCGCATTGCCATCTAAATGCGACTGCTTGCAAGGTTGAGGACCCTGGTAGAACTCTCAGCTTGGTATACTCTGCAGTAGAGTTGCTCGTCATTGATGCGAGCAATAACGACGGGCAAATTCACCAGTAGTAAAATATCCTCTCGTTATCACTATGCTAGTTGTCAGTTAAGGCACCTCCAAAGAACAGCAAACAGCCACGGAGAAACAGCATGGAACTTCTCGTGAATTTTTGATTTCCAGGTATAATTGGTTTTGATTGGATATGTACACTTATTTACAGCCAATCAAAGTCTTCAGATAATTTCATTACGACTGAAAATGGACTAGGACCTGCTGGGTGTCCTAGACGCCCAATGCCTTCCGTTGCAGTCGCAAACAAGGCATATCCTTTCTGCACCATATGATACAACTACAAGTACTACAAGATATCATGTACAAACAGCTCCAAATACGATCCAGGCAAGATCGATTGGAAGGGCACTTAACTACGTATGGGAGCTTGTATAGTAGGCTGACTGTCACAAAAGCGCTGCTGCGGGAGGTTGGTGGCGTGAAGTACACTAGGCACGTTTAATTTGGGTCACCAGGCTCCCGCTGCAACGTCTTGTGGCGCTATATTCCCTACACACGCGCTCGTTGCAGGACCTCAGCCATTCATCGTGTTATTTAGGGTATTTTGAGGGTTCCTCAAAGGCGGCGGCGTTGTGTGACAATTGTCCGAATATTGGTCCACGAGGTACAGCTTGAAAAATCACCCTAACCACTCTCAAGACTTGACTTTTTCGACAGGCTTTTTGGCCAAACTACAGTATGCTGTCAGTAAAGTGGAAGCAATGGGCAAATCAGGACGACTTGAAGTACTGGTGAGGAGCAACAGTTGTAACATCGGAAAAGTTGAACGCATCTGAAGTACAGTAGGTATGATATAAATCAAGCGCTGCCTATAATCATGTCTGTAGCCAACCAGAATCGTCAATTACACCTTGTCAAAGTCTACTTGTACTAGTAATGAATACAGGCCATCATTACTCTAGGCGTCTGCAGTACAATTTCCTCATTAACTGTAAAACAGTACCACTGTTTTTTCTCACAGAACACTTGAATTTGAGAGTTTTTATGGGAAGTAGTATATTCTGACCCCTCACCTCTTATTAGGGGTTAAGCGCATCTGTGTAATGTTATTGGATTTCAAATATCCGTGATAATATCGTGCGTCATCCAACAGCATCCCAACGCCATCCAACATTAATATGAGTCATATAAGGTCATACTAGTAGTAACGTTAGAGATGAGAGTAAATCAGGATAATGCTAGGCCATTGTATTGAGCCCTCGTCCAGGAGCGGCATGCCGCTGCCCGACAAGGAGAAAGGATAGATCATTCGGTGAAGTGAGAAGCTTAGATCCGCGCTCTCGTACGGCCTTACACGCGCTAGGGGCCAACGTAAGGCTTGGTCACTACTTTAGGTTTCATCCAACAATTTCATCCCAATGTCATATCCACATTTTAATTCAACAATTATATTATATTAACCATAGTATCCAAGTTTGGTATTAATATTAAATGCTGTCTCGTACTAGTAAGTACTAGTAGTATTGAATAGTATATAGTACTGTACTGGCGTCTGCATGAACACTGGTATTATTATACCTGCAAACGCCTAATAATTCCCTCATAAAAATAGTGGAACTTTTTTATATTGTTTTACAGTTAAGCGAATTATCCCATCCGGATAGACTTTTCCCCTGTACCGTTCCTCGTATTAATACATTCGATGCTAAATCCCCGGGGTTAATTGCAATCGCGAGTGGTTAGAATAATTCCCTCATTAAAACAGTTACTAGTACTCTGTTGTTTTGCCCGAAATACTGTTTCACAGTCAATGAGGTTATCACATCCGGATACACCTTTTCGACCGTAGCCCTGTAACCTGGGACTCCGTCCTACCCCCGGTGAGTACATACGATGCTAAATCTCCGGAGTTAACTCCATCGCTAGTGGTTAGCTATCGCTAACCACTGAGATGCACTTACCCCTAGTAAGAGGTGAGGTGGTCTGAGCATACAAAGTTCCATACAAACCTCATTGAAACAGTATTTCGGGTCAAAACAACAGTGGAACTGTTTTAATGAGGGAATTGTACTCTTAGCTATCGCTAACCAGTGTGGATCAATTTCGTTGAATATTTGGTCTTTGGGGGGTGACCCACGAGACTAATTCCCCCACAACAGGTGTACCGTACTAGTATCTTCCAAGTACCCAAACTACTACGTAGTACTAGTACACCTTTACAGATGGGGGAATTCTGAGGTACCTAGGTGTACCCTACTAGTATCTTAACTATACCTTTACAGATGGTGAACCTAAGGTACTTCAAGTATATACGTATACCTGCTGTGGGGAAATTATTCGACCATGGCCAAAGTCATAGAAGGCCATCACATGTTATGATGAATGGCCCTTGCATATGATGCATCTGCTCTATCAGGTGCGTAGCGTCTGGCTGCCTGAACGTGGGGTGGTCGCGATGCGCCCAGGTGCCATTTTACTTCAATGCTGATTTGTGATGTGTCTTTTTGTGACAAATCCCACATACAAAATCAATCTCCATATTCACAATTGGTGTGACTTCACACTAATTCTCCAAGCCCAAAATCCAAACTGTAATTAGTGCGGATTGAGATAACTAAGTTACCGGTATACTATTCGTCGGTCTGGTGACGAGGTTCAAAATTAGCGTGGACCGCACTAATTACGGTCGACGGTGTAGATTGTCGTCGAAGCACAGTGTGACCTCAATCCACGTTGACCGCGTTATCTCTCTTCAAACCGTGGTGAAACACGCATTAGGTAGTCGCACTGTGCTTCTCAACTTCGAATGTAGTAACTATTGAGTTAAGTACTACAACTCTTCTACCGGTAGTGCTCTATAGAACGCTATCGGGTACGAGTACTACATACCGTTATATAGTACTCCGGGCTAGTATCCAGGAGCGTTCATCTATGCTCACAACATTGCATGTATCTTACTTACCCTTACTACTTAAGTACTCCAGAGTACTACGTAGTAGTACTACCGGTAGTAGTATATGTATACTACGTAGTACTTTACTTGTATTAATAGTACTCGGTTCAAAGGAGAATTATTTCAGCCAATAAAGTACGTAGTTCTGTGGACTCACCCAACAAACTTCACGCAATGAATTTTATTTACATTCGTAGGCATGATATATCACTATGCATACAAAATTCAAATACACATGCAGAGTTGCACTGAACGAGATTCTGCGCAAAGCACGGTATGCCTTTCGCTTGTCCAGATTGCATTGACTTCAGCTCATATGCACTACTTACAGTGTCACTACTATACTTATAGTGGTAGCTTTGTATCCGTTTTAGAATTACTGTTTGCTTTTTCAACTGTTCCTTCAACAGCTACGCAGAATGGACCTCCTTGCTTGGTTCCACTGCGGCCTCTTGCAGCTCCAAGCTTTTGAGACAGAATATTTCAGGAGAATATCCGCGACATGCTTGGCCATTTCGTCAACCTTATGATTTGCTGCTTACCCTTGGGTACTCTCTACCCCGAAGTGATTTACCCTGTGACGTTTGAGGAATCTGATCCCACCTTCAGCGGAATTGGTGGAGTCACAACAATCAATTCAATTTCAATTTCGCATCTGCCATGGCAAGCCACGACAACAAGGCAGCGGACTTGGAGGAACGCGTGTCGTACATCCACTCGGTCACGACCAAAGACGTTGACGGGTACGCCGAAGCGAAATCTCCCAAGGATCTGGAAGAGGGGGCTCTGGCCGAAGGGGGGGCGCTGGACTTGTTCTCCCGCGAAGCGTTTGCCCTGTTCATGCAGTACGGCGCCATCGGGGTCATCTACGGCATGATCCCGGCGCTCAACTACCCACTCTTCAACATTTACCTCAACTTGGAGGGGTACCAAACGTCGTCGTACAAGGTGTTGATCGTGATCGGGTGGTCGTTCAAGGCCATCTTTGGCCTGTTGTCAGATTGCGTCCCCATCTATGGCTACCGGCGCAAGTCGTGGATGTTGATCGGGTGGACCATCACGATGATCTGTCTGAGTGTGATGACGTTTTCGCCGTTCGGCGAGCCGTTTTGCAACCGCGAAAAGA